TTATTTATTTATTTATTTATTGAGTGGACAACTATACAAGTCATGTAGTTAAATGGAACTCTTGATGGCTAGGGAAAATTACTAATTTAACTAGAGCTGCATGGACAGCTTGTTTTGATGATTGTATGTTACAGGTGATATAGATTTATTTTTCATGGTTGTTACAGTGTTCAAGACTAGTTTTCCAGCTCTTACAGGAATACTTACTCTGGCTTACTTTATCCACAACTGCATTCTGTCAATAATGAGGAACCAGGCGAAACCCCAAAACAATGTAAGTAGTATTGTTGTTTGTATAAAAAGAACAAAAACATGCTGTTCATTGAATGAATGAATGAATGAATGAATGAATTCCTTATTTATATTGCGCCCTTTCTATACAATATTCAAAGGCGCAGTACCCCCCATCAATTTGATAGACACTACACAAAGATAGACCACAACACCGGGCACTACGTGCCCTACTCTTTTCGAACGGTGTGTGGGTTCTTTGACGTCCCACAATTTTTTTTTTCTATCACATACAAGGGCTTGTGAGACGGGACCTCCATTTATCGTCCCTATCAGAGAAGACTAGAAAGTGTAACCGTTTGCAGATATTATTACAAAGGCAGCACTTTCTTCTCAGTTATTTAAAGACCCTGAGTGTTGGTCCGGCCGGATTTGAACTCACGACTTCCCGCACAACAGTCCGGCGCTCTACCAATTGAGCTAACTGGGAGACGGTTTTTTATGCGCGCGCTGAATTGCATCAGCAAAAGTGCGCGCGAAAACTGTGTTCGGCCAACTTAAGTAAAAAAAATCGACAGAAATGATTAAGAGCCAGACATCAGTTGTCGCCTGGGTGATCGGACGATGCTTGTTTATTGACCACAATATGGGAAACACTTAAGAATATTACGGAGCCTTATAAGGGAATCTAGAAAATGTTGTCTTGACACAAAAAAAATCCTTCCTCTCCACTCATTCACGATTGAAAGTTCACTGGTCTGATTTTCATTTCAGTTGTTCTGGGAGCGGTGTCTTCAGCTTTACTGGTTAAACCTGCCCAGCGGATCGAAGGATTAAGTCCACGATGACGATATATGCCATTGAGATTTGAACAACCACAAAATATAGTAGCGTTGTACCACCAGCCTCCCTCAGACTTCGATGGACAACTGTTAGCTGAAAGTCTGTCCCAGGTATAAAATGACGAGCCATTATGAATGGAAAGAGAATCACTAGCAGTTCCAGCTAAACACACACAAAAAAAAGAGGAAAAAAATTCAATATATTTTAAATTTATAGACAAAAATTATTCGTAATTGTTGAGAGCCTAGTTCTGGCCCATTTAACGATGAGATTCTGCTTCTTGTGGAGGCGACATTTCAAAAAAATTTTTTGAATTCTAGAGCATCAAAGTTACTGAATAAAATCTGACCACTAGTTTCCTGTACATCCCAGGTCCTCGTGTCACCTGATTGATTCTATTCCACCAAGTTACAGGCTACTCTCAAATAAATGAGTTGTTTAGGGTTTGTCTTATGAGTTTGATATGCACAAGTAGATATGAATCACACTGATATTCGCAAGGCAAACAGTCGTTTGGGAGACATTTGCTTTGAGATCTACCGGATGTAAGGGAGGTGATAGCAACTGTCCTTTATGACAATGCTCATTTGATTAGGAAAGAGTGAATTGACTTACATGAAATATTGCCGATGTGCAGCTTGTAATAAGCTGCCTCATTCTCAATACCAAACCATTCATACTCTGCGAAGACAGTTTCGTCGGCAGTTATTCCCAGATCCACGCGGAGTTTGTTTTCTGTCTTGTTTTGCGTCAAGCGTTGGATCCTGTCCAGTCCGAGCCAAAATTCACGAATGAGGAAATCACCAAATCCCTTTTTATAGTCGTTCAAGGTACGATTGAAATCCATGGTGCCATCCACCCTCTTCTGGATCACTGTCCATCCTCCACCGGCTGTTGTCTGGTCACAATAGACATCAAAGGCACCTGAACCATCAGGGTCGATTGTATAAACACCACTGATGGATTGGCCGCCCGTATAAAGCTCAGCACAGTTCTTAACTGTTACGAGATAAAAAATGAAATTTTTCTCATCGATTACGGGTATCAGGGAAAGGGAATAAGCGAGGAAAAGAAAAAATAATAGAAAATAAAGTAAAAGAAAAAATGCAACGAGTAAGCGACCGTTAATTCAGTTTTTTGGACAGTTTTGAACTCATGGAGGACGCTAGAGTGCAAGTAGAATTGTTCTTCGCAACTGAATCCTAACGCTAACCAAGAGAAACGTTCTGCCAATATGTGATCAGCCGTCGTATTGAAGGAAATTAATGTAATCCAAGAGTTATCATAAAAGCATAGATTCTTACTCACATTTCTCGGATTTTCTGCTGTCATTTTTGCAACTTGTCGGAGCCGCATGAGTTGTAGGTAACAACTGAATCATGAATAAAAGTGCCACACTGAGCAGCAAAGAAGAATTTTGTGAAACAGACATGATACGATGAAATTTCTCTCCCAACCTTAAAGCTGTAGATCTCGAAATGTACACGTAGCACAGTTGTAGATTGAAGAAATCTCAATGAATCGAACCTGTATTTATACTGCAGTTTCTTATGTTAAGGCGTAGGAACAATAGCCGCGAGGAGAATATGCTAGAAGACAGTACAACTATATTTCTCGGAAGCCGGAGGCGTGTTCTGGAATAAAGGGCATCCTGTTTCTTAGAAACTAAAGATGTAATGAGAATATGCTGGAAGACAACCGTATTTCCCGGGAGTCTCCCAATACTCATAGGGGAGATATGATTCTAACAGAGAACTTCACTCCTATTATGAAATATTGAGGTTTTAGTTGTCCATGAAAATTGTGCAGTCTCATCACTTTTAAACTCCCATCGACGGAACCATTTGTGTGATGGGAATCCCCGAGGAACATAAAACTCCTTTCTCGCTTCTTCGATATTGCGCCTGATTTAGGTACTCCAATTGAAATGCATGTAATAAAATAAGCTTCCTAATGGTTTAAGTAGTGGTTGCTCGGCATTCTATTAAAAATCGTGCCTCCCCCATAAGTGTAAATTCAAGGTTGAGCAATTAAAATTTCTTCAGTCTAAAACTGTTACGATGCAAGCCATGGTAGATTTCAACCCAGAGAAAGATGTTCCATCCCATCATGTCTGCCTTACAAACTTCTACTTCTCTGCTCAGTGTGGCGCTTTTGATGACGATTGAAGTTTTATCTTTAACTCGCGCAGCCCCTACAGAGCACTAAAACAGCACTTAAGGTGACACAGGTATCATCCTTCCAGGAAACAGAAATCGCGAGACAGGTAGAATTCTGAGCTTTCATTTTATTCTGCAACCTTCAAATCCTAATTAGTTTTTTCTCAAAGAGGACCACACTTAAAACAATAATGTTTCGCGGTATGTTTTCTGAGTGAAAACTAGGTTTCTATGACTCTTGGACGAAAGCGAGATTGCAAGTCTGTTTCCCGTGCATTTGACCACTTTTGAAGTCATCCGCATTCGCTTTACATTGATCAACTGATCGTGGGTTGAAACGTGTTATGTGCTTGTCATTATTACGTCTATTCCATTGATTTTCCTTTCTTAAATTTCTTTTCTTCTGCTTTCGTCTTCTTCCTTTCACACTTATGAATGCATGGGCAATATGGGAGGATTTAAGTCATTTTCGATTCAATTAAAAAGACAAGAATTTCATGTTCATGTATTCATATTTCTGCCAACTTTCCTCAACAGCTAAGAACTGTGCTGAGTTGCAACAAGGAGGTCAAACAATCTGTGGTGTTTTTACGATCGACTCCGATGGCTCAGGTGCATTTGATGTATATTTGTCAGTACTTACGTTTGAGATTAAATATAACGAGCGTGTACAATGAAAGGAATCCACTTTTTTCATGTTACCGACAGTCATGTTCCTTCACCTTCACCTTTGTTTAGGTGCTTGATTGATGTACTCGCGTCATGCAAATTTCGTTTCCTGTACCTGTCATTAATCATTTAGCATTGCCTCAGTGAGGTGCCGAAGTCGTACCGCGCAGTCTTTGTATATGTTCGCATTTTTTACAAAATTGCGTACGTTTGTTTCTAATTTAATGAAGTCCGTCAGGATCCGCTCGTTTGCTTGTCTCGCAGAGACTGGATTGTAAAACGCAACTTGCAATGGCTTAAGTAAAGTTTTGTGGCACGCCGTCGACGAAAGTACCACTTAATTAGTGAACCTATTTGACTTTCATCCAAGACAAATGATTCGATTTTGTAACTGATGCAATTGCCTTTTACACCTTCTGAATCATCAAAGTGACTGTACTTTTGAGCATAGATACATTTTTCAAAGAGGAGATGGTAAGGGAGGTAATGATATGATCTATCTGTCTCGGTGGAGCTTATTAAAGCTAAACGGTTTATTTTCACACCTCATTGATCCTGTCTAATCTGGGATTAATTACGTAAATTATGAATCGATTTTCAAGGTCAGGGACCAAGTGTAGTGTTGACGTGAATAGGGAATAAATCAAAGACGAAATGATCCGTTATTTACATTCACCAATGAAATTATAAAACAACCGTCCGCATATAGAATCTAAAAATCAAACTCAGGCATTTATTCATCCCTCGATCCTGCAAGTTTCTCAGTCTCTCTCCTGATGACCTAATTTCTTTTATTGAGGAAACGAAATTACTTAAAAAGACCATGTTATGCCCGATGGTCAGAATTGTTCTCTGCAAGGAATCGCTGAAACCTAACGCCAACCCAGAAAAACATTCTAGCGATATCTAAACAGCGCATCGTATTCAAGGAAATGTAATCCAAAGGTTAACATAATATACCAAGCATAGTTTCTCACTTATATTTCTCGGGTTCTCTGTTGTTATTTTTGTGACTTATCGAAGCTGCACGAATTGAAGGTCACAATTGAATCATGAATAAAAATGTCGCACTGAGCAGCAAAGAAAAATTTTGTGAAGCAGACATGATAACAAGAAATTCCTCTCCCGACCTTAAAGCTGTAAATCGTAAACTGTCTAGTATGTAGCACAGTTGTAGATTAAAGATTTCTATAACTCAAACTTTGTATTTATACAGTGCAATTTTCCTTAACTTATCATGGCGTAGAAACTATATAAACAAAAAAGAATATGCTAGAAGACAACTGCATTTCCCAAGAATTTCCCAATACTTATAGGGAAAGATGTTCTGGAATATGGCATCCGTTTTTCTCTGCTTAAGTTAGCAATAGGAAGTTCAAAAGATTGATAAAATATCTCCAGTCGAAAGAAGCGTGAAGCTTGCTCTTCTTGGGGGTTGTCTCCTTCTTCGCTTACTCAAACTTCAAAGCTTGCCCAATTCTGAGGTCAAACCTCAGTAACCCTTAAAATAAAAGAAATACTTCATCACGGTCAGATTATGATTGTATGAAAGAGAATTCTGTATCTTTGCCGTTTTAATTGATACATCATGTGATATTCATCTGTAAGGAGATAACCATACCTTTTTGCATCATTTTATGAATGACATTCATGAGTTCTAAATGCTGGCTGTGTTTCGCAATCATCTTTCTGCTGCATTCTTGCGAGCTATCGTCACTGTAGCAACCCCCGTAGCAAAAATGTCCTATGATATTGAGAACGTGGGTATTAGGTTAATTTTTTTAGAGCAAGATCGGAATTCCAATGCTATTATAATTAGTGGCGGACTAATTCTGTTACGCCCGAACACTCCAATTCATCATGAGTGAGCCTTATACTTGACCGTGTACCTTTTAAGGAACTCTAGTGTTGAAATACTCAAGCAAAACCGTTTCAGTACTTCCAACCGTTATTTGTCGAAGGTGATGACCTTTAAAGGGTTAGGATAACTTAGCGTTTCCTGCTTCCGAAATATAATTGATTTTTAAACTTTTAAGCAACTCTTTCTAAGGGATGTTGCACTTGCTCGTTCGCTCAAATTTACTGCTTTCTGATCTAAACGGCTCAATAAAAGCTCATCGTATTATCTGTAAGGGGCTATGGCTTCCTCTGAATTGGAATGATCATCCGTATCGGATGGGCTTATTTAACGTTCAGTTTAGTTGTTAGTGGTCAGTGGTGATATCTAGGGCCAGATGCTTATGTTTCTAATAGATGACTCTTCAATATCTCCTCAATATGCAGTGGCACGATATTACACGCAATTCAGTGTTTTGACCTCGCGTCTACTGAATGTGGTTATTTTCAAAACAAATATTTTCTAGTAATTATTGTTATTGGGGCTGATCCAGTTGTGATGACTCCCAAGTATCCGCTAAAAATGCATATCTTTATGATTGTCACAATGAGTCACTTTATGTTTAAGGTGAAAACTTCCTGACATTCACGTGTTCGTCAGTTTCACTGAGTTCTTAATATTCAAACCGCAAAAAATAGTTCAATAAATCCATTAATCCAAAGCAGCCTTGTAGAACTTTCTCTTTTTAACTTCCCTATCCGGTTAATACAAATGAGACATGTTTCTGATAGAACGCTTCACTCCTTTTATGGAGTATGAGGTTTCCGTTGCCCATAAAAATTGTGCAGTTTCATCACTTATAAACCCCCATTGACCGAACCATTTGTCTGAAGGGAATCCCCGAAGAACATAAAACTCCTTTCTCGCATCTTCGGTATTACGCCTGATTTACGTACTCCAGTTGAGATACATGTCATAAAATAAACTTTCCAGTAGTAGAAATAGAAGTTGCTCAACAATCTGATGAGTATGAATGCATGGTCAAGCAGTTGAAATGTCTTCAGTCTAAGACTGTGCTACAACGGAAGTCATTGTAGATTTCAAGCTACAGAAAGCCATCTTGTTTGGAAGATGACTCCTTCTTTGCTCACTCAAACATTAAAGCTAGCGCAATCCTGAGGTGAAACCTCAGGTGACCCTTAAAAGTAAATTAAATGTTTCATCACTATCCCACTGTGATTGTAGGAAAGAGATAAGGACTTACAGAATTTGATTTATACATCCTGCGTGATTCATTTGTAAAGAGATAATCATAGCATTCATGAGTCCTATGGGTTGAAATCTTCATAATTTGT